AAACTGGACAACCTTGATGAAATGGACACATTCCTAGAAAAATACAAGCTTCCAAAACTCAATCAGGAAGAATAAAAAACCTGAATAGGCCAATAACTACTGAGGAAATCGAAACAGTAATCAAAAAGCCTCCAGCAAACAAAAGCCCTCGACCAGATGGCTTCACAGGGGAGTTTTACCGAACATTCAAAGAAGAACTAAAGCCAATCTTTCTCAGACTATTCCAAAAAATTCAAGAGGAAGGCACACTTCGAAGCTCTTTCTATGAAGCCAGCATTACCCTAATCCCAAAACCAGATATAGACACCACAAAGAAAAAGAATTACAGGCCAATATTCTTGAAGAACATAGATGCTAAAATCCTCAACAAAATTCTAGCAAACCAGATCCAGCATCACATTAGAAAGATCATACACCATGACCAAGTGGGATTTATTCCAGGAATGCAAGGTTGGTATAATATCTGCAAATCAATAAACGTGATACATCACATAAACAAGTTGAGAGACAAAAATCACATAATCATATCGATTGATACAGAGAAGGCATTTGACAAAGTCCAGCACACTTTTCTGATGAAAACGCCCAGCAAAGTGGGAATAGAGGGATCATACCTCAACATAATAAAAGCCTTATATGACAAACCTACAGCCAACATTATACTCAATGGGCAAAAACTAAAACCATTTCCCTTAAGAACAGGAAAAAGACAGGGATGCCCACTTTCACCACTCCTGTTCAACATAGTACTGGAAGTGCTAGCCAAAGTGATCAGACAAGAAGAAATAAAAGGCATCCAAATTGGAAAAGAAGAAGTAAAACTGTCATTATTCGCAGATGACATGATACTGTACTTAGGAAACCCTAAAGACTCCATCAAAAAATTATTAGACGTAATAAATGAATTTGGCAATGTAGCAGGATACAAAATTAACACCAAGAAATCTATAGCATTTTTATACGCCAATAGTGAACTTACAGAAAGAGAAATTAAAAAAACAACCCCATTTACCGTTGCACCAAAAAAATTAAGATACATAGGAATAAACTTAACCAAGGAGGTAAAAGACCTCTACCCAGGAAGCTACAGGACATTGAAAAATGAGATAGAGGAAGACATAAACAGATGGAAGAACATACCATGTTCATGGATAGGTAGAATCAACATCATCAAAATGTCCATACTACCTAAGCAATCTATATATTCAATGCACTCCCCATTAAAATACCAACAGCATATTTCACAGATCTAGAAAGAACTCTCCAAAAATTCATCTGGAAAAAAAAAAACTGAATAGCTGCTGTGATCCTGAGAAAGAAGAACAAAGTATGAAGGATCTCAATACCAGATATCAAGCTGTATTACAAAGCCACTGTTCTCAAAACTGCCTGGTACTGGCACAAGAACAGACATACAGACCAATAGAATAAAATAGAGAACCCAGAAATCGACCCAAATCACTATGCTCAACTAATATTTGATAAAGGAGGGAAGAACATACAATGGAGTTAAGACAGTCTCTTCAATAAACGGTGCTGGGAAATTTGGTCAGACACATGCAAAAAAATGAAACTAGACCACCAACTTACACCATACACCAAAATAAACTCAAAATGGATAAAGGACTTAAACGTAAGATGGGAAACCATAAGATTATTAGAGGAATCCACAGATAGAAAAATCTCAGATATATACCAAAGGAATTTCTTCACTGACACAGCTCCTAGGGCAATGGAAACCAAAGGGTAAATAAACAAATGGGACTATATCAAAATAAAAAGCTTCTGCACAGCAAAAGAAACCATCAACTAAACAACAAGAAAACCCACTGCTTGGGAGAACATATTTGCCAATGATATCTACTGTAAAGGTTTAATCTCCAACATTTATGGGAAACTCATACAACTTAACATAAGGAAGATAAACAACCCAATCAAAAAAATGGGCAACAGACCTAAATAGACACTTTTTGAAAGAGGACACACATAAGGCTGAGAGACAAATGAAAACATGCTCAGTCACTAATCATCCGAGTGATGCAAATCAAAACGACAATGAGGTACCATCTCACACCTGTCAGAATGGCTATCATCAACAAATCAACAAATGGCAAATGCTGATGAGGATGCGGAGAAAAAGAAACCCTTGTTCACTGCTGGTGGGAATGCAAACTGGTGCAGCCACTGTGGAGAACAGTATGGAGTTTCCTCAAAAAACTAAAAATGGAACTTCCATTTGACCCAGTGATCCCACTTCTAGGAATATATCCCAAGAAACCAGAAACACCAATCAGAAAGGATATATGCATCCCTATGTTCATAGCAGCACAATTTACAATAGCTAAGATTTGGAATCAGCCTAAGTGCCCATCAGCAGATGAATGGATTAAAAAACTTAGGCACATCTACACAATGGAATATTATGCAGCTGTAAAAAGGAAGGAACTCCTTCTATTTGCAACAGCATGGATAGAGCTGGAGAGCATTATGCTTAAGTGAAATAAGTCAGAGAAACATAAATATCACATGCTCTCACTCATTTGTGGATTATAATAAACAACGTAAACTGATGAACAAAAACAGATGTAGAGACAGAGAAGCATCTATCAGATGCTCAAAACTCAGAGGGGAAAGATCAACCAAATGACTTGTATGCATGCATATAAGCATAAGTGATGGATGTGGACAACATGGAGTGAGGTGAGGGCAGGATTTGGGGGATGAGGGGACATTGGGGGGATAAGGACACATTTGTATTATCTTATTCAATAAAGAGGAAAAAAACAACAACAGCTGGAGATTCCATCTAAATTGGACAACTGGCTGAGTAAAAGCTAGACACCACTGGACTGAAAAAAAAAGAAAAAGAAAGAAATGCAGAAGTAACATGGATCACTTCCAGAGCTTTCTCTAGTGAGAGCATATCTAGATCACACAGAACCAGAGAAAGTAAGATCCAGATAGCACTTAAAAAAGCAACTCTTCTAATACCCTCATTTTAGAGTTGGGGAACAAGGCCCAGGAGAGAGAAGATTCACCTGATGTTACTCAGTGACTAAGCTGAGACCTGAAGAGGGTCTTCCAATTCTGAGTCTGCTGTTCTTTCTGATAAACCATATTTCTTATCACAGATTTGGGTTAGAGGTAACACATCCTGGGCTAAAATACTCTCTTCTGGCCCATATTGAAACAACTTTCTCTATCCTTATTTTGCTCTACTTAAACCTTTCTTTTGCAACAGCATGGATGGACCTAGAGGATAGTATGCCAAGTGAAATAAGTCAGTCACAGAAAGACAAATACCACATTTCACTTATTTGTGGAATCTAAAGAACAAAATACATGAACAAACAAAACAGAAACAGATTTGTAAATACAGAGAACAGACTGATGGTTGCCAAAAGGAGAGAGGGTTAGAGGATTGGGTGAAAAAAAGTGAAGGCATTGAGAACTACAGATTAGTGGTTACAAAAATTGTCATGGGGATGTAAAGTAGAGCATAGGAAATATAGTGAACAATATTGTGATAACTATGTATGGTGGAAGTTGGGAACTAGAAATATCTGGGGAATGCCTTGTAAAGTAAATGATTATCTAACCACCATGCTGTACACCTGAAACTAAGATAAAATAATATTGAATGTAAACTATAGTTTAAAATATTAAAAATTTTAAAAGACTGCCTTTGATACCTATGATTGCAAGGTAGTACAAAGAGATATTTCCCACTTAAACTCTTAACTTTAGCACCAAGTATAATTAAAAAGTACATAACTGGCAGTTTGCCAACAAAAGCTTTGCATAGGTTGGCTGGATAAACAATCCAATAAAAAAAATGGGCAAAGGACCTAAATAGACACTTTTCAAAAGTGAACATACAGAAGTCCAAGAGGCATATGAAAAAATGTTCAAAGCCACTAATCATCCGAGAGATGCAAATCAAAACCACCATGAGGTACCATCTCACACCTGTCAGAATGGCTATCATCAACAAATCAACAAACAAGAAATGCTGAATTTTTAACAAATACCCATGAACAAATAGTGGAGAAAAGGGAACTCTCATATACTGCTGGTGGGAATGCAGACTGGTGCAGCCTTTGTGGAAAACAGTATGGAGTTTCCTCAAAAAATTAAAAATGGAACTCCCATTTGACCCAGTAATCCCACTTCTAGGAATATATCCCAAGAAAAAAGAAACACCAATCAGAAAGGATATATGCACCCCTATGTTCATAGCAGTGCAATTTACAATAGCTAAGATTTGGAAACAGCCTAAGTGCCCATCAGCAGATGAGTGGATTAAAAAACAGTGCCACATCTACACAATGGAATACTACACTGCTGTAAAAAAGAAAGAACTCTTACCATTTACAACAGCATGGATGGACCGTGAGAGCATTATGCTAAGCAAAATATGCCAGTCAGAGAAGGATAAGTATCACATGATCTCACTCATTTGTGGATTATAGTGAACATAAACTAAATCTAGAGACATAGAACCATGGAACAGACTGTCAAACATTAGAGGGAAGGCAGGGGAATGTGGGCTGGGGGATGGATGTGAGGGGTAAGAGATCAACCAAAGAACTTGTATGCATATAAGCATAACCAATGGACACAGACAATTGGGCGAGGGGGGTGGTGAAGACCGGGTTGGTGGGCAGGAGCAGGCTGGGAGAGGACAATGGTGGGGGGAGAAGGGAGATATGTTATACTTTCAATAATAAAGAATTTTAAAAAATACCCATGAACAAATAGGAGAGAGAGAGAGAGAGGAGAGAGAGAGAGAGAGAGAGAGAGAGAGAGAGAGAGAGAGAGAAACTGAGCAGCCCCAAAGAATCAGTTTCTCACAAACAAAATTTAGGAAACCAGTCAAGGTGCTCTTTCCAACATCTTCAACTGTCACAGGTAGGGCCCAGGGAGTTGTTGTTTCTTCATGGAAGTGAACTCTATTTTACCCTAAGTGCCACCACAAGCACTATTATAGCTGGACCTACCTCACAAATGTCCTTGAGGTGCTTGATATAATGACGCTCAGTGCTCATGATTTCATTGATGACATTGGCCCGCATCTGATCTCGGTTCTGTAGTGGCCGGCCCAGACAGAGACAGTCTGAGTTGGGGTCCAGGTGCCCATTCTGAACGTCACTGGGCCCTTCCTCTACCCCATCCTCCTGGTTCACCCAGAGCTGTGGAAGAAGGCAGAGAAAGAAAGGATTAACTTCCCTCTTTGAGAAGTTTTCAAACAAGTAGAAAAAGGATAAACTAAATTCTTCAGGTACTCAGAGAACCTTCAGAGGCCCCTGTAAACTGCATGCCAGGCCTGGCTCCAGGGTGACTTGTTGACCCTAGGAATGAGACTAATTTTCTCTTGGCCTCTGGTGACCTATCATCTGTAAAATGAAAGATGGGGAAATCATCTTCAGAGACTTCTTAGCTAAAATGATTTCAGAGGAGAGAAGAGCAATGATAATCAGAAGACATACTGGGGCATATTAGGGAGAATAGCTGGATCAAAATAAAAAAGGATTAAGCTATACATATGAGGTGCCATGGCTGGATTATTGTTAAACACTTATGAGTATGGAAATCAAAGTTAGAAACTAGAGTGGGCATATCCAAACCAGGGCCTTCGGTGTTGATTTTTCTCAAAGCCTGCACATATAAATCATTAAAATTTGACTGTGAAATTCTTGGGATATGAAAATATCTGTACTTCCTCAAGGTTGGAATGGAGATGTCATAATGTCCTTGTACCACATAATAGCAACAGCTGTTTATTTAGCACTTACTATATACCAGCCCCTGTGTTGAGAGTTTTCAGTGAACTGTATTATTCAGTTCTGCTAGACAGGTACCATTATTATCACCATTGCACAGAAGAGGAAACTGAGCCTTAAAAAGTTAGGGATTTCATCCCATGTCACAAAGTTAGGAAGCAGAAGAGCTGGGATAGAATCCAGGCAGTTTGGCTCCAGAGTTTTTGGTCTAAACTACTGTGCTAGCTCCTTTTGCCTCTATCTCTAAGAGAAACAGAAAAGGAGTAGAGAAGGGATTGAGACAAGGTGAGCTTAGAAATATTAGACTCATCAAAATTGGATACAATTGGTAGAGGTTCAGACGATCCATTCCAAATCATAAAGCAAAGGAATGCAGAAAAAAAAACTGTTGGGGAGGCTTAATAAGGTATTTCTTGATCTTGGATTAATTAACTCATGGAAATGGCTCATTTCACCCTACTCCTAGGAAGAAGGAAAACTAGGGGGCATGGAAAAAAGGAAGGGTGGTACCCTAAGACGAGTGGCAAGATCTGCTAGGATAATTAGCCAAAGAGCTTGTCAGGTGTCTCTACAAATTTATTCAACTATTCATCTTTCCCTCCCATATCCCACCCCTGGTTTTTCTACATTCCTGCCTCAAGAAGCTAAGATAAAGCAATTTCAATGCGTCCCTATTTCTGACAACAAAAAATGTATGTTGGTGGGTGGATTTAGGGGTACAGAAGCTTTGAGATGAAGCCAGAGGGACAGTAGTTCCTTCCCACCTCTGTGTATTCTCCTCTCCCTTTGCCTCACAGAGCTTGGAGAGCATGGTTACCACCCAGTGAACCTAGAAATGTCACCAGCATATAGTCTACTTATTTGCCACAGTGGTTGGTATATAGTAAGAGCTCAATCCATTTTAATGCATTTTGCATACACAGCCAAATGTGCAAAAATGTGCGTCTACCCAGAACCTATCACCCTCTGCAAATGATGTATTTAAAATCTTTCTACATCTTACAAAGGTCAGCTTTGTGTCTCTGATGTGCTAATAGCTGTCCCTTGATACAATAAATAGGCAGTGATGAAGGATGACTAATTAAGGAACAGATCTGTTTTAAAAAAAGTGATTCTAAGGCCTTGAAACAAACACATCATAAACCTGTCTATTTTTACCAATAAAAACATCATTTTCTAATAATCTATTAGCTTTTTCCAGCTTCTCATAAAGCAAGCTAATCCCTGCTATAAAAAGAATACAATAGGCAGGCCTTCAAGAGATAAGAAACCTTTCTTCTCAGGAGTAAGACAGTCAAATCAAAACAAAATGTTGGTTTTCAGATGGCTGAAATGAGATGACACTTTGAAACAACTCTAGTGGGAAGGAGCACAGAATATTGGTGGAGGTGGGTGGGTTGGAAAGTCAGGTCAAGACAGAACCAAATTTAGGTTCAAGTAATACTTCGGATAACAATGAAAGGGCAAGAAGGCAACTACAACTAGGTGGATGCAGATTTCTTGCACAAAATTTGGTGGAGGAGCCCCTTCTGGCAAGAACTAAAGGCATGGATGGCAGGACTCTTCATAAGGAGCTTCTGAGAAGATAAGACCTTTATCTATTATACTGAAACAACCCCATAAGCCCACTACTTAGGGAAAGATGCTACCTTAATCCAAAAGAATGACTGGTAGATTCATTCATTCATTAAATCTATGTTCAATGCTTAATATATACCAGATAATGGAGATAAAGCAGTAACAAAAGAGACAAAAAATCTCTGCCCACTGTGTAGCTGACATTTGAGGGGAGATTATTTTAATTTGCAAAAAGGTAACATGTAAGGCCTGATTACTGTGCCCCTAAGCCCAGGGTCCCACAAAAAAAAACCCTGGGCCTGAGACAATGACATTTTGGTAGAAAACTCTCAATCCCTTGCTGTTGAGTTTCCCTGTTCCCTGTTCTGTCTTGTCTGCTTGTATGTCAAAGTACATTGACACAGATCAGCACAAGACTTCATCTTCCGTGGGTACAATATCAACCCTCTCACCAACACACTATGCAAGCTAATGTATACCTGTGTACTTTTTCAAAAATGTTATACATTAACACTGCAATTGGCACACATGGGCTCCTCGGTGACAAGAAGACAACAATGCCCAGAGCCTGGCAAGATGGAAGGCTTTCCTGGAAGCCCTCTCAGAGTACTTGAAGATTATTTTCTGCAGCCTTCATTGTGCTCTAGCAAGGCTTGGTTAGTGCAATTCAACTTAATAAATGCCTATTTTGGACCTAGTTTGTGCTTAACCAATAACTATGAGAAACAAGGGGATGAGCAAGAGAACTAACTACTCCCGTCTCCCTTAGTTTCAGGGAGTACTTTTCAAAACATAGAAGATCTCTGGTCATCATCTCTTACTTTTCCATTCTTACTGTCATGGCCCCCATTCCCTAAGTGATTTCCGTGGGTGATTCCCAGCTCCAATCCTTCCCCCACACCAATTTCTTTGATTATCACTTTGATTGGCTACTCTCACACCTCCATATACTCATTAGCTGCCCATTGCCAAATCCAAATCTCTTACCATGGAATTCAAATATTACCATAATCCGGCTTCAATCTGCATTTCCTTTCTCACCTTCAACTGTGCCTTTTAGGAACACTGGGCTCCTTCCAAACTGGTCTACTGTCTATTCTCAAATACTCCAAACTACGGTCTTTAATCCCATGCTCAAACATGGAAATAATATAGTCCACATGCTTTCAAAGACTTAAATAATTATTAACCAATATCACAACTTCCTGATGAAGAAACTGAAGTTGATAAAGGAGAAATAACTGGCGGAGAGCTAGCAGCATGCCCAGATCCCAATTTTGATAAGGCTTTGTATTTTGTATGTATCTTCAATTTCTCCTTTTTTTTCCTCTTTTGTTTTTTTAAATTACACAGTAGATACAGGATTACATTTGCTTTTTAAAAAAGTTAAAATGTAAAAGAGAGATCTCAAATTATCAAAATCAAGAATAAAAGAGGAAATATTACTACTAATCTAAAATAAATAAAAGGGATTAAAGGGGACATTATAAACAAGTATATGCCAATAAATTAGATAACCCGATGAAATGGAAAAAAATCTAGAATGACAGAAACTGACTGAGGAAGAAAAGGAAAATTTGGATAAAAAGATCAGACTATTATTCAAAAACTTCCCATCTGGATCAGACCAGATGGCATCACTAATGAATTCTACCAAATATTTAAAGAATAATTAACATCAATTAAAAAACACCGAAGAAACTAGGCATAGTACAGAACTGTTGAAAACTGATGATGGCAATTTGTGAAAAACCCATAGTTAACAGCACACTTAATGGTGAAAGACTGAATGCTTTCATCCTATGATCATGAACAAACATCACTTCCATGAAACATTTGTACTAAAGGTACTGGACAGAGATATTGGAGGGAAAAACACATTTAGATTAGAAAGAAAAACTAAAGCCATTCACATATGACATAATAGTATATATAAAATTAAGAAATCCACACATAAAAAACCCTGTTATAAAAAATAAACAAGTTCAGCAATGTTGCAGGATACAAGAACAACATAAAAAGTCAATTGTAACCCTAACTGGTTTGGCTCAGTGAGTAGAGCATGGGCCAGCGGACTGAAGGGTCCCGGGTTTGATTCCAGTCAAGGGCATGTACCTTGGTTGCGGGCACATCCCCAGTGGGGGTGTGCAGGAGGCAGCTGATCAATGTTTCTTTCTCATGGATGTTTCTAACTCTCTATCCCTCTCCCTTCCTCTCTGTAAAAAATTAATAAAAAATATTTTTAAAAAGTCAATTGTATTTTTACACAAAATAAGTCTTTAAAAATTCAAGAGAATTGAAATTATATCAAGCATCTTCTTGGATCACAATGGCATGAAACTAGAAATCAACAACAATAAAAAAACCTCTAAAACATACAAACACATGGAAGCTAAATAGTATGTTATAAAATAATAAATAGGTTACCAATGAGATCATGGAAGAAATTAAAAAATTCATGAAACCAAATACACAAAAACCCCAAATCTATGACACACTGTGAAGGCAGTCCTGAGATGGAAGTTCATAGCATTACAGACCTACCACAAGAAACAAGAAAAACATCAAGTAAATAATCAAACCCTACACCTAAAATAATTCCAGAAAGAACAACAAGCAAAGGGCAGAGTAAGTAGAAGGAAGGAAATAATAAAGATCAGAGCAGAAATATGACAAAGAAACTAAAAAAGAATACAAAAGATCAATGAAACCAAGAGCTGGTTCTTTGAAAAGATAAACAATATTGATGAAGCTTTAACCTGACTCATCAAGAAACAGAGAGGAATCAAACAAATAAAATCAGAAATGAAAGAGGCAAGGAAACAACTGAC